AGTGGGTCAGAGAAAGCAAGAGTAGAATGAGGGAAATATATCTGAGGATGAAGCAACACATTTCTTTCTCTGACCTTTTTATAGGACAGAAAGCAGGCTAAGAGGACGTGAAAGCTATGTATAACTAAAATAATTTCTTAAAAACAGATATTTAGGTACATTCTAAAAAACAGAACATTCTCAAATTCTGTTTTTTTTCCTTTACTTGATGTTAATAAGAAACACTATAATCCATTTGATGTAACTGGACATTTTATTAACATTACCTACTTAAGATGTGATCATTGAAAAGACGCTGTTGTAACATTGACAAGGACTATAATTAAAAACCATGTCTGAATAATTATCCACAGTATATAGACAAGCCTCTATTAGCGAACACCTGCTATTTTGGTGAAAAGCCGTAGGAGACTTTCTTTGATTATATTTCTGTTTTTATAAAGCCATTTCTAAAAGAAGGAGACCACCCATGTGTTCAGACTATTTATGACAGATCAGGCGATCCTGTAAAATATTAAATCTTTCATAATACAATGTCAGTAACATAGAACAATAAAATCAAACCAAATAAAATATTTATCAAATTCTCTCAATATTTTTCAGCGATGTAACTGGGCTTACTACTAATTCCTTTTTATGTGTTAATCTAAAAGGTTCTTAAAAAACCGTTAGCACCTAATACTATTTGGAACAAGAATCTAATTACAAATGAAGACATTGCCTGTGACAGTAGAAAAACACTATCATAATAATACTGTACTTTAACCTTCACATACATGATGCCCATAAGGAAGCTGTAGGAACATATTTTGCCAGAATGTGGCTGTATTTTTGAGACATACTATACTTCTTCTGCTTTGTCAACTATATTAGACAAGAATATTCCATGCTTGTTAATTGATTATTTTAGAATAGTGCTTTCACAGTAGCAAAACAATTCTGCCCATAGAGTAACTAAAAAGATAACGTCATTTCTTTGGGAATCTCCATTTTCCCTTTACTTCACTGGATCTTGGCTATTGTAAATCTATTTTATATGGAGCTTTAATGAAGCCCTGTTTCATTGTGCTATTAGCAGGGGGTTGTGGGAGTACAGTATGGTTTGCTGCTGTAGATTCAGTTAAGTCCTTAGTGCTTCTTCCAATTTTGTATAATTTAAAAATCAGACTTAACTTGAATGCAGTAATTCAGAGGAGTGTACCACTAGGAGGGGGTGAGATGTTTTTGCTTTGTAATTTATTTCTTGTGTTTTGAAGTAGTTACAATTAATAAAAACTTGCTCACAAATAAATCTGACAATTATTGGTCACAAATGCAGAACTGAAGTTCCATTAGGCCCTCTCTCTTGAGCAGGTGATAAAAATACCACTACACATTAACATTGTGCATATTAGATACAGATGCACATACAGAGGGCAAACTCTCCTTAGAGGAGCTTTCTGAGGACCAGAAGGAGCAGGAGATTGGAGGTGCCATGTCATCTGTTAGAGACACCAAATGCTTCTCAGCTGCAGGGCTTGCAGTCTGTCTGCTCAAAATAAAATACATTCTTTTACAGTCCATGACATTCCACAAGACTGAGGCTGCTACCTCCACAACCCCAGAATCCAGCCTGTCAATGCTTGTGTTCTGCTCAGAGATCTGTAGCTTGAAAAACACAGCAAGTGCCGAAAACAGATCAGCCAGGGTCACATGCATGGAGTGTTGACCTACTATACAGAAACATACAGAAACTAAATAGTTCTTTCTAAATTTACTGGACACTAAGTTATCTAAGAAGTTTTTTTTTAACTTTTATCTGCAAAAGTTAAATTGCTTTACCTTAAAAGTCCAATTACCAACAGTAAGCTTGTAGGTGAAGAGTAAATCTTTATTTTGTTTTGAATCTAAAAACAGAGAACAAAGATGGCACAGCTGAGAGCTTTTCAGCCCTGGGCTAAGGGAGGCATGGCTTTTGATTAAACTAACTCCGTCATTTTATCACGCTGTCTCCCCCTCTTCCATTAAACACCACTTGAGCCCACTGTAGAGTCACGACTCATATTGACTCTTTCAGTTTGCTTCTGATCTCGACAGCCAACTGCGTATCCTCTGTACCACGCAATTAGAGATAATTTTTCATGGCATATTCCAATTACTCTATCTCTGTGGATGTCAGCTCCAGTAAGAGGAGTTCCAGTGTAGGCTGCCCTGCCTCTGACAGCTGCATTGCCCAAGGACCAGGGCTCCGATTCAGGCAGGGAAGGGCTCAAGCCAGGCTGTCAGACAGCAGCTTTGCAAGCTGGGGAATGTGTGATAAAGAGAGACAGTGCATTTGCTTGTTTCCAAACCACTACATTCCCTGACCAACTGTGAGAGAAGTCACAGAACAAAGGACATCTGATATTTATATAGCAATTTTCAGCTTTGAATATGTACACTTTTTGGGTGTTAATACTATATACTGTATCATACTCTACTACAAATGACCTACATTTTGAGCATGCAGCTTAAATCCAAGCAATAATATAAATAGATTTGTGAAGAGGTTTAAAACTATATATTGTTTATACACAGCACCCCCCTTCTTTGGTATTCATTGAATTCAATAGTCAAGTTATAGAAATATTCATTAATGTCCTATTGATAGTCATCTTGTGCACAGCTGAGCTAAGATCACAAGTCAAGGTGATGCAAGTACTTAATAAAACCTGTAGTTGCTTAGGGTGCTTAGCTGGAATTCTATCTCAATCAGTGAACCCTGAGATGGTTGTTCGTTATCATGTGCTTTAGGCGATTGCAACAGTTGCTGTGGGAGGGTGGAGCCTTAATCACTGGGATGCTCAGATGCCAAAGAGAGCATCTGAGCATTTGTGGGTTGATGCAAAAGAGCCAAGCTCTATCTCCCTGACACAGGTTCCTGTATATTAAACTCAGGTTATGCTCTCGGGCATTCCCGCAACTAACGTTATTGAACAATGTATTGTGCCAAGTTACTAAGGAAAATCATAGAACATTGAATTCTTATTTCTACTTTGAATAAAAAATTAAAATTGCCATGTACTTTATATTACACACTTGACTGATCCCTGGACCAGCAAAGAGGGAACGAGAAAGAGCAGACAGGCTCCTCAAACTCCACCCACCCATCCAGCCATTCATCTTCTGACATGGTACAAGCTCTGCAGTGGCGTACAGGAGGATCAGTGCTGATTGTAGGAGAGGTACATCCATCACAGATGTTGCCCCACAAGAGACCTATCTGTTGAATCCCAACTCCACCACCTGCAGCTCAGAGCTTAATGTGTGCTGACGCTTGGGGACTTCTGGGTACAGTCGTCTAGAGACATGACCCAGACTGGAACTCACAGAGCCCTGCCTGCACTTAGAGAGAATGCCTTTGTGATTTGACCCCCTTGGAAGCATCCATAATAATAACAATTTCAAAGAAGAAAATCTGATCCCACAATCAAAGCTGAAACCTCCTATTCAGTAGAATTACAAGAAACCTTTCTTTTTACACCTTGTACAGAAAAGGTGCAGATCATCACAAATCTCTCCTGCTGTATTTATTTACAGTCCCAAGAACATTGCTACTTAACTTTCAAAGTGAGTTGGCTTTGTTATGTAAGACCACTTACTTGCAATGGATTTGTACTTTTTTTTAAATGAAGAAGATCCCTCAGGGATGTGAAATGGAGCTGACTACTGATGTGCCAGTGATTGTGAGATGTGCTGTCTGAGTATATGAACATCAAACTAATCAGAGGAGAACAACACATTAAAAAAAAGAGCATTACATTCATGCACCACAGCCTTTGGCAGGGCATCTCCTATTTATGAAGACAGATGCAATTTAGTATTGCAGACAATTGCTTAGAGCCCACATCATTGCTCTGAGCAATCCAGCTTGAGCTGGTTGTAATGTACAACAGGTTCTGGTTGGTCATTCATTGCAAAACACACGTAAGCACAAGGACATGAAGAAAAAAGGCAGTGGGTCCTGATTCCTAAAAGCTGGATCCTGTGTAGCATGTCTTTCCTTTCAAGGAAACAGCTGATCAGCATAAAGCACCTACTGCAGCAGACTCCCTGGAGTCCCTGACAAAACCCATCAACAAGTACAGCTCTGGAGGGTGAAAGGAACATAAATAAAGAGCACAAGAGATCAGAATGTTCAACAAGACACACCCTCAATTATCAATTCAAAAATAAAGGGTAAGCCAGTCAGTCAGTCAGAGTAAACCAATAGTAAGAGGATCTTCAGTAAACAAAAACTATAATCTAATAATTAATCCCTGAAGAGAAACCTAAAGGAATACAACATCACAATAATAGTAGCAAAAGGTTTCTAACAAGATTCATTATTAGAAATCATCACACATCATGCAGAAAGAGAATTCAAATTTGAATTGTATTAACAAAAGTGACAACTAAAAAAGCTAATTGAACATACTTCTCAGTACATCCAGTATCAGAAAATGAGGAAATAAAGAGTGCAGATAAAGTTGAAGGTTATCCACACTATCGTAAATAACTGAGCATTGAATCCCACAACATCACAGACAAAAATGTTAATCTCTGGAGTCAACATTACTCTTTTCTGTTGTTAAGTCTTTGATCCCTGTTAATTCTACAGGTGTTTAAAACAATAATCTCATATCCCTGTTAATTACAAGGGTTGGGCTACTGTTACTCAACAGATATATGAATATCTGCTGTCCTCAGTTCAGTAATTGGTATTAGGCTAAACCTCATAAACTGTTTATACAGTACATAACAAAAATAACAACACAGTATTCCAATAATGTAAATTCCATTTACACCATCAAACCTAAGGGATGCTTAACTATTGCCACTTGCTGTAGAAGATTTAAGTGCTGCTTCACGCACTTTTTTCCCTTCATGGTTCATAGTCATTATCAAAAGTACTGTATTGAGAAATAGAGAAACAACTGGTGTTGTCTCAGGCAGGTAGCTGAAAACACCTGACTGCAGCAAACCACAGTGGTAGACCCTACCTGTTCCAGCTTGAAGATGTGCTGATTGAAGTAGTGCTGAAGCCGCTCGTTGGCAAAGTTAATGCAGAACTGCTCAAAGCTGTTGTTCTCATAGTCTTCAAAGCCAAAGATGTCAAGAACTCCAATGGAGAGGATCTGAAAGAAACAAAACCCAAGATTTTCACACACTGCCCTTCTTCATAAAGTGACAGCCAGCTGCAAGGCTGTAGCAGTGCTTAGTGGGGCTAAAAGGAATGGTGCTCAGGGTATAGACTTTTATTAGGAACTTTGCCAGTTATCCAAAGAAAAGGTCATCCCAGGGAGGTAAAGGAACCAAACTGAGTGTCAACAAATTCTGAGTGTTTGCTTTGCACATGCGAGCTGTTTATAATAAACTTAGATTAAGCCGGAATTCTTCTGAAAACAGATAAGTAAGTTAAAGTAATCCTTGCATCCCTATATCATCCGCACATTTCCAAACTACTAGTCATCTATTCTGGAATTCAGGAACCCGTGGATACCCGTGATTTCAGTACTGCCCTGTCCAGACAATTCTTGCTACCAGAATTCGTAAACACTTTCCGATTTTATTCATCACAGAAGGAGCCAGGCATGTCTTCCCTTGTCCTGTGCCTGGCAGATGTTTCTTGATTTCTTCCTTGTCCTGGACAAAAGGCACTGGGTTTATCCCACAGACAGGAGTAAAAGTCACTCACGGTGTTTCGTGTGCACTGTGGTTGCAGGTATGCCAAAGGACAAGAAAGATGTTCCCAATCTGTTTCACTGGACCACATTTCCATTGAAACCAAAATGAGTTATTAAGTCGATGTTAACATGAATATTATATGTGACAGTAATTTTTTCAATAAGGGTCTTGTTGGCTGTAGGATGTAGCAAGGGGGCCTGCAACAGACTGACATCAGGTTTCTATAAAGGATATAGGAAATAAGCTGCTGCAAGCACAGCCAACTGTCCAGGTCCTCATTATACTCGACAAACATAAGCACGGAAGAAAAGACACAGCAATCAGGCTGCTCCTCTGCTGTACGTGCTCCGTGCGACACTGAACCAGCTGTGACCGTTCGGAAACCATAATAACATTCCTGCCTTTGTGACAGATCAATATAAAATCCTTGTATTCATATCCCCACCAGCATGCCATCCAATACATTTTGGGACAGATATTAAAAACATACAGACAACACCTTAAAATGAAGGGCAAAAACTCAAACCAGATTTCAAAGGAAATTACTGGAATAATGACTGGAAATCTAGTGCACAGAATACTTTAAGTCAAGCATCATTTAAGAGGATCATTGTGTTACAGATGGGAGATAATTCCACACAATGCAGTAGGATTCAATTCCAAATGGCATCCTCTCATATTCTCAGAAACTGGATAACAATCATTCCTTTCTCCACTTACAATCAGCTGGGCAGGGTCATGTGAATGTCTGCCTTTTTAGGATGTTTACAGAAAATGATTGTTTCATGACCTATACAATACACAACAAAGACTCTACACCGTGTGATATAATTCAGGCTTTTGCTTTTAAATATTTCTCTCCAAAACAATGTATTAGATGTATTTCAGTATTCAAAGACAGAATTCAATTTCTTTTCATCTTAACATATTCAAATTTATGCCATATTATTCAATACTAAAGATGTAAATGTTTTCTGAATAATGTAATACCTGTACTTTTTCAGGGATAAAAAATCCAAACAAAATCATTAAAATGAATCAAACTCAACCAGGCTATTTCATTTTGTAGATTCACAGTGTATTCTGCTGGAAGAAAACTGACAAACCCCCCAGAGCTGCAGAAAATGTTTTTGCACAAGAACAGAATGAAATCAAGATGACCCATGGAAGGAAGTTTGCTTTTAATGCCTAACTACTTAAAACTCTTCTAAGAGATTATGTATCTCAAACACAACTTCCCACACACAAAAAAACAAAATGACTTTTTTTTAACTCCAGCCTGGAGTTTTGCCGCCCACAACAGAGCAGACCAAGATACCTGATTCCATGCACAGCTTTCACATTGTTAAAATTGTCTACCTAGTAGTGAGTTGTTCTTGTTCACCTGCAAAGGGCACATGCACCCACAACTAATGCGATGGGGTGTGTGCAGAAGAAAACCCCATGAATTACATGCATGTTCAAGTTCCTGTGCATCCTGAAGGCTTAATTTCCTGGAAGGTAGTCCATCTCCTACCTTGATGCTTTCCTCCAGATCTTTGGTGTTGAGTAGCGCATGGTTGATTCTGAACACGATCCAGTCAAACAGGGCGCTGTAGAGCGACTTGGCCATTGAGTCACGCACTGTCCCAGCCTGCAAAGCAAGATGAACAAAAGTCATGCTTGACTAACCATATTTCTGCACTTTAATCAGGTTTGCAGTGTGCCCCCTGCCCCCTGCCCCCCAGCCACTCAATTAGCAGGAGGTCACCATTTTTCAAAGAGCTCAGTCATAAGACCTTATACAGTACCTCTTCCTTATAGTTTGATCTTGACAAGAAGATAAAATAGATCATTACTGTCAGTTCCATAAAGATATTAAATGTTTCTTCATGAAAACTTCATGTGCAGTAGCACCTAAATCTATTAATGGTAAGAGAAAATTCATAAGTACGAATAAAAAGAAATGATTTCTTTATTCCACAAGGTGAGATTTAGAATCTTTCTGTTGCTTGGTTGCTTGGCACGGCTTGTTCATTCAAAGACAATTTAATATGACAATATTAGCATATATTAATGATATTGGGAAAAAAACAAAAATGGCACAGACGGATACAGGAAGCATAACGTGCCCGTCCCTATTTCACATACTTACTGTTTGATTAGCCCTGGAGTAAATGAGCAGTAAACTCACAGGTAGAGTAAAATTGTGGGCCATTGAAACCAGCGCAAACAGCACAACTGAAATTCAAGCCAAAAGGAAAGCTTGATCTCTGGGAGGATCAAAACAGACTAAATCTGGATAAAATGGTTTGGTTAAACATCTGTATTTTTGTCTTCCTAAGTGGCTTTTAATGGAGAAGAAATGTAAACTTCTTTTTCTTCACTGGCTGGTTTTAATCTATTTTATTAACAGGATGACTGTGTGATAACCCACAGGTGACAGGCGTGTCTCTTGGGGTATTCTTTGTCATGTTAGGTGATGGGCAATAGAAGAATCCTCTTTTCTTCTGTGACCTCACGACAAAAAGTTTGTGTAACAACCGCAGAAACGGTGATCACCTAGGCAAAACCATGCCAGCTCCCTCTGCCAGCTGGCAATTACTGATGAAAGAGAGGGCACCGCACAGATAAAGATGAATGTCATGAAACTGGCTCAGCAGGCAAATCAGGCAATTGAGAAATTCTCCTTTCCAGAGCGAACGGTAGTAATCACGTTTGTGTGTGTGTGTGTGTGGGGGGGGGGGGTTAGGGCTCTTTTCCTGGTAATTGAGAACACAGCACAATGGAGTGGCTTTATTGTATCTTGTATCTTCTTTAAAAAAATATCAAACTACAAGAGCCTTAAATACATTTAGACTACAGGTTGAAACTATGGGCCACATGACAGGTTAAAAAGCGACCATCTTTACTGCCCTCCTGAACAAGATGGTATGACTGAAGCACTCTGGGCAAGGAGCTCTTGGAGTTACCATGGTAACCTCTTAATGGAGAAAGCTAAATAGGGCTCTGCATGAAATACGCAAGCTTTTGTAGGAGAGACTGGATCACAGGCCCACACAGGCGGAAGTTAGCCAGTTGATAACCATGTATTTTCAAGGTACAAATATGAGCAAACCTCCAGCATCAAACACAGCTTGATAAGAGGCTGATGATTTTTTCCGCTTACAAAAAAAGTGATAGAGTTTTGTAATGCTCCACTTAGAAAAACAGACATCAAGGAATTATAAACTAACGTGAAGAGCAGTCTTATATGAGGCTACATTGTGTGCATATAAAAAAGATACATAAACATTAACTGACAGTAAAAGCATTGGTCCAGGAAAGAGCTCAACTGAGGCAGGAGCAAGTCATAAGTCTGTCTATTCCTGAGACCTCATAAGGGCAAGACTTACCAAGATGAGTTCAGGCATCATGATTGTTTGAAGAAAACACAGATAAAATTCAGAATAAACTCAGGTAGAAGTCACAATTTTGAGTTCAACCAGCACTGATTTCCAAGCACAGAAACATTTTTTTTTCTCCAAAAAAATGCTCTAATACCTTTGAAGCCAAGAAACTTCTGAAAACCTGGCGACGCTAAATGTTCTTAACTCATTCATCTCTACAGTGTCATTTGGCACTTTTACCATTTTTCTTTGGAAAGACAATATTCGCATTCCTATTCCCAAGTGCCTCATCTGTCATATTCCAAAAGACAGCAAATAGTACGATGGAGAATTAGGCAGAACAAATGGAGCTACAAAGAGAAAATCTAAGTAGCAGTGTATAAGAACAAAGGCAACCACACTGAATGACACTGCAGAGCTAGGCCAGTAACGTACAGCCGACCTTTAAAAGCTTTTAAATAAAGGTGTCTTTATCTCAATGGAGTTAAAGCTCTGTTGCATTATTAGTATCCATCTTTAAATATTTAATTGTATTCACAAATGCATAGTGTATTCTGCTGGCAAACAGTTTACAAAACACATTCAAGGAGTAGCTGGGAAGATAATAAGATAAACGCGTCTCACTGCCATAAGGTAAAAATCATACCCTAGGGATTCTCTGAACCATCTGGCCTAATACTGTACACAGAAACAAGTCAATTGTGGATCTTCTGACTTCATTTTTAAAAAATCCACAACTGGTGTAGAAATACAGTACATCAAACTGAACTGAACATTATGTTGATACTGATACGCATGTGAGGTATCTTTTAAGCAAATCAGTGGGTAGTTGCATACTTTGTGTATGGTCACAAAATAAGAAAAGTAACAAATGAGGACTTGTATGCTGCTGTTCATGAACAAAAAAGTAAAAATATAAACCCTGTCCAAGATAATAATTCCTGGTTTGGACATTTGGCTCTTGGGGTATAGCTTTTTACCATTAAGATAAACTATCTGGAGTTTCATACCCATCAAATGCATTTCAGAAGATGTAAACAATTACAGTAGTAATCACAGATAGTTGTGTAACTATTGTTAAGCATGAAAATCAGTACTTGCAGTTTGTAATTGGCTATTAAATACAATCTTTTGCTTTTTCCACTTTCATCTAATCACAAAAGTTTTCAAAACACACCACCTACATGCTAGCAGTCCCACCTAAGTTAATCAAAAGGTAAGAGGGTAAAACATTTCTTGAGTCTTATTTAGAATTCCTAAAAATGTTTCTCTCCTGTCCTCTTTACTTCAACTTCAAAAGCTTCAATACTCTTAACACAAATTACAGGTTTGTATTCCCCTTTTCATCTTCAAGAAGTAAAATTTTGCAAAGAAGGCTCGGTTTAACAGTTTGGGATAAAAAAGGTTACATAGAAGGGAAGCTGCTTCTTTAATGCAAGACCTTGCTGTGAACTATGAAATGCAGATAAAGTACCATTTTATAAGATTAAAAAAAGAATATATGTAGCACCAGAATGAAGTGCACTGTTTATTGAATTCATAACTCATTAAAATGAGCATTTACACATGGAAGGGAGAGAGAAGAAAAAACGAACATGTAATAGAGGTTGAGGAGATGGGACTCAAGCAGATAACTGACAATTTCTAGTCAATTTTCAATTTGTAAAGAAACGTAATTACCTAACATACGAAAGGGAGGTGCTGTTGAAGGCTTTAATTACAGGATCCCTCTTATTGTGATTACGCTTCATTCTTATGTGTAGTTGAAGAGTAGTCTTTTCTAAAATAAACACCTGAAGTATCTAGGTGATGGTTTGTGGTCTGGATGAAAAACCTGTGCTAAACTGGAGAAGCTTCATAGATTTTTTTAATGGACAATTATGAGCTTCAAAGCCAGTTTATCTGTGGGGAAAATTCTAGTGCCTGCAGTACATCAAGTATTAATACTTGTATAAACAACAAAGAAGAACGTCGCCACAAAGAACTTTGTGAAACATAATTTCTGGAATTTCTCTGAAACCACCACATTTTAAAACACAGGGTACAATTAAAAAACTCCAGGATACTAGAGACTTGTTGATCTACTTCTCATCAGGGGCTTTGTGACCTAAGTTGAAAAAGCAGGGTTTCAATCTCAAAGAACGCCCATCTACTGTGCAATATTCTCTAGAGGCTAAACACAGCACAGTATCAAAACAATCTTTATGGCCATTTTTGGTGTTCTGGCATTGATTCTTATTACATTAAAGTCAGTCTAAAAACACTTTATAGCCACAAGTGTTTTTGAGACTGAGTTTATGCACACACCCTTTCCTAAGCACAAACATCAAACTATATACCGTATGAAATATCTTACATACCTATACATCATACGTCCAGAGGTCGGATTAATAGTACTGTACATAAAGTGAAAGTTAGCTACATAAAGAGAAACGCTGAATTTTTCTGATGTTGTTGGGAAATGTACATGCAGGTCAATACTGCAAAGTCATTCTTATTGGAATATTGGCTACTCTAATAGCTAATCAGTATTTTAATATACAGTAAGTACTTAATCAGAATTTAAGCAGCAAATCATTTATAGAACACAAAATTCCTCAGATTCCCAAAGCTCAATGGGCCATGGTTTCACTAATACCTACTATTTGTTTTAAAGAGGTTTCATGGCTCCATTAGGCTTATTAACACTCCAATACAAACAGCAGCAGTGTTTGCACAAATCTGGTCAAATAAAGATGCTTTTATCAAAGCTAATGCACTTGGCTGCTACAGTAAGCAAAGGGAAGCCTGGCTATTATTCTAAAAGCAACTGAGGCGTACTCTTAACATCAAGCCTGACCTCCCCAGTCAGAGCTGTCTTTATATAACCTGCAAGGTACAGCTCCAAGGCTAATGAAGTCTCATCTCATTTGTGTTTGAGTTTCTTATTGCATATTGCTGCTGCTGGCAATGCAAATCCTCTTTGCAAGAGCTCCTTGTAGTAAACAGTTTCTTCTTTTAATTTGTTCTGTTCGTTTTGTATTTTTGACAGTAAACCACAAATACAGGCATACAGACGGTTAATGTTCAGTTGTATTTGTGCAATTTTTGTATTAAACGACAAGGAATGTACATATCTGTATATTAAGAAGAATGTTTTTAAGATATAAAATAGAACATGTTCATTAATACATTATAGTGAAAGAGGTATATAATTAAGCTCTTGCTCTGGTGAAATGTTTCCAGATAGCTACTGACAAAGACAAACCAAAAAGCTTCTTCAGGACCAACAACAGAACAAGGACAGTAAAAACCAATAGGATTTTAATTGAGTACTGAAAACAGGAGGCACCTCTTTTATACAGAGGGGTATGTGTTTCAGGAAAAGCATTCTCAGCATTGAAGAATATTCTCTGGGAACTCTTAATCAGCAATCAGTTCACATCAAAAATCCTTTGACAACTAACCAACTAAGTTGCATCTTTTAATTTTCTAGAGTTTCTTATATACAATTTGCATACTTTATTTATATTTTATCATTTCACAGAAGGATTCAAGTCAATTTGAGAAAAAAGCTCTTTAACAAAATTATAAATGTGAACATTTTAACACTTTTAACATTTGCAACACATCATAGATGAATAGAAACACCTCTTACAGTACATTTAATGCACAATGCCATCACACACTGACCTTTGCTGTAACATAAATTGTAAAAAGTGATAGTTTATTGAAGGGCAACTAAGAAGTAAGTAAGAAGTTTTAAGAAGTCAAAAAATAATTTCTCTTTGTTTTCATTTCAACCCACGTCTAAAAAACAAGGGTATGATACGGTTTTAATTATGAGAAATATAATTCTGGAGTTTTCCAGAAAGGCTTGTATTTTCACCGACGGCTTACAAACAATTTATCATTGTAAATTACTCTCAAACATCCATCTGTAGGAAAATCACTCAGGACAGCTTGATTTTAGAGACCTGTGGTCAACATCGGTATCTTTACATTCTATAATTTGTGCACAGGCAAGAAGTCAATAGTAGCTTATGAAAGTAGAACTGTTCTGAAAACTGGTATTAAGTTTGTTTTCATGCACTATAAAAAAAAACTCACTTGGCACAATGCTTTTCTTATCAAATTCATATAAACACATCAGGCAGACACACCGAATTGTTTTAATGATGCATTGTGCAAAATCCTCAGAGGGCCGTGCAGAAATGCTGTACATGCCTGGTTTAGACCTCATATAAACAAGCTTCAAGCACTGGGTGACAGGCCAAGACTAGAGAGTTTCTAGAAAAGAGAGGGCTAGTGAGCTGACAAGCAACTTTGAGTATGCACAGCGCTTAACAGGGGACGTTTATGTCATCAACTTTTTTTCTCTTTTAAGTGAAATCCTGCTCGTTTCGAAGCGACGTATGCTCATTCTTGGGGTAATTATTTTAGCTCAAAATGTTACTAGCCATTCTTCATTTTTTCAGGTTCACTGTCTTCTAAAAAGTGTGCTTGACACTGGTCCTCAAGGGTTCCTGTACATTAGGTACTTCATATACTGTACTTCTTTGAATCTCCAGCTTAATAAGAACTAGGAGAGGCTTCAACATGTCCAGTTAAACATATGATTAACTGTAATTAAGCGTTCAGGTGAAAAAAAAAAAACAGAAACCTTCAGGCCCCCTAGGACTGGAATTGTGCTTGGTCTCCCTGCACTAAGCCTTCAGTATACTGTACTCTATATCCCAGCTATTTAAATTCCTCCTAACCAGTCCCTCTGTGATTCACCAATCCCCATAATTGTTGTATTGATCCTGACAATCAGCAATTAAATAATTAAGCAGCCAATTGTAGTCAAATTCTGTGATGGAGTAGATTGAAGCAAATTAAAGGAAAGCAAGTTCAGTTAGCACGGCGTAATGAACTCCTTAAGAAAGACATGGGGAGCGTGGGTCTGTGCTACCAACAGCCTTCCTGCAATGTTAAAAAAGCCAAATCTTTTATTCGCCTTCCAAACACGATAATCTGTATAATCTGCAAGGCTAAAATAAACAATCCTGTGACAACATGTTACTCCACAACATATTTGTCATGCTGATATGGTTCAACAGAAAATAACCAGAGATGTCATCTTTTCTTCATCAAAGAATAAGTGTAAATAACTATCCAACACAGCATGAAGTATTCCACTCCAGAATACACCTGATCCTGGGCCAATAACAGCGAAACTATGCCACAAAGTTGATTTTTTTAGAAACATCATACTGCAGGTCCTTCAATTTAACAGGAAAAGGAAATGGTCCAATAACCATCTTTGCTACCAGGTGGTTCTATGTATTTTATAAGAATAGCAAACACTTTCAGAAAGCTATCATTATATGGGATAAAGAATAGCCCTGCTGTTCCTAACTTTATTTACTCAGCCCAGTAAGTGCATTTTAACATGATGAACTTATAAAAGGAACTATTTCAAAATTTCAATTGCGCTTCCAAATAGTTCACATCGTCTAAACATGAGGAATACCTGGAACTCTTTCAATTCTTCCGAGTGCTCCAGGCAATGGGTTGTACTAAACTTTTTAGGACCTGATGATCTAAAGAAAGCAGATTGAGCAGCTGGTGACAGTACTGTCGCCCTGGTAGAAAATATTGTATTCCACAGTACAGGGCAAACTAGTCACTAGTCCTTAAAGTAAATTACTTAATACAGAGTTTATAAAAATTCAGGTAGTTGTAAAAAGCAAAAGGTGTCTTTTCAAAAATGTATTAAGCATATAGTTGTGTAAGGGACTGATAAACTACTTTCACATTCAAGTAGACAGACATCTCTTTGCAAATGCTGATTATACTGTATCTGTAATGAAACTTTCATCTCAGTGATGTGGCCCTCTGCAATGTCCTTTCCTATCTTGTATCAGAATCCTGATGGGTTTTTTTTTATTGTAGAAGACAACATATAAGATGTTCAAAAATAAATAGCAAAATACTTTACTGTGAGACTCACAATCAAGTCGACAAAATAACAATCCTCTTTTATTTTCTGAAACAAAAGTACCTTTTTAAATCAAAGCGTTTGAGGGAAAACATAACACCTGGGCTTAAATTCACAATAATTGGAATACTGAAGCTATTTTGCAATTATTTCATCTTGCTTGTTCACAGACTAAATTTTAAAAGCATTCACCTTACTGCAAACTGAAAGACAAAAGAGCCTGAGAGAGGAATAGAAGCAAATCTAATTTTCAGATCTACTGGCTTTTATCTTGCTGCAGCTGTTACATTTCCATTAGCTGATGCAAATGTTGGGGGGGAGGTAGTTTTTTGTTTGACTGTGTGAGTATACACAAGGTTTTAAAGGGAAATATTTCAAATCTGTCTTGACACAGAAGGTTCCTTGTTGAGTTAAATGAAAGGGCTCAAGTGACCGGTTATGTTAAAAAAATTGGATCCAAGTCTAATGACCAAAAAAACAGCCCCAGCAATTTGCATGAAAAAGTAAAAAACAAACAAACAGCTTTTCAGTTGTAGGAATAACATTTCTCAGCTATGGAAAACAAAACTGAAAACATATCCCAATACAAAATTCTAATTAAATACTCTATTCATCAGCCTTATTGTGCAAGCTCATGAATTCCACTAAAAAGGCTGAGCATTTTCACAGAGTATCAGTGATTAATTAATGATGCCTGGGAGATGCAGAAATTGATCACATGATTTCAGTTCTGTAATGAAAGTCTTGCATAGACAAATGCTTTAACAGTGTCAATGTCAGCTTTCAGTGCTGTTAATTCTGGCATTAAATGTAAATGGCTAAATTGCTTAATAATAAAGACTTATTCATATCAAATCCATTAATGCCATAATTCAGTCTAGTCAAAATTGTTCTACAGTGTTTGAAGTGATTTGGGAAGTTATTTTTAGACTGTTAAATGGTGCCATTGACAGTGTTTTTCCTCGCTCTCAAAACAATCATTTTCTCCTCCTGTTTTTCGAGAGAAGCTAACTTCTAATCTGATTAAATTTCCATGACATCCCCATCTCTCCCCTACACCCTATTTACGATTTGATTTTGGTAAACCTAATAGGCATCTCTTTCCTGGCAGATTCCAGATCATTTGAGTGCCAGTGTTTCCGCCTTCTCCAAAACAAACAATCCGAAAAGCATCAAGAAACATCTGCTTCTGCAATGCTTCCTTCGATCTCGGTTCTAAACAGCCCTGCCACAGCAGGTCTATCCTAATTCCAGCTGCTGCAGAAGCCTCACTCGTTCTGGGCCTGTGTCATGTCATGTTTTCAGACACAACACTAATTTAATACTTTGTTTTACATTAGTGCCCAAGGTTTCCAAAACAAAACTCAAGTCTCGTAATGCAAACCATCAGAATAACAGCCCTGTGTCTTTCAATTCCCAAGAATTAGGATTCACATGTTCTTCTGCAACATTAAACATGGAATCCGATACCATTCTATATTGCTGCCACATGAAGTTTACAACCTTCTCTTTCCTGAGTTGATAAGTCTTCTCAACAGATTGGTTCAACCCAAACACTTATTTCTAAATCTCTCAATTGATACACTGTCTCCTGAATTAAAGTACATCATACTGCAAATACTATGGTGGTTTACTTAACTTTGAGATTTCTTAATTAAAAAATGTAAGGGCTATTCTCTAGAAATTTGCTTATCCTTCCCATTTGTGACATTGAGCAAGAACTGCAGCAACAATTCTCTTTTATAGAGGTACAGGTGAGTGAAAAGAATGCGGCACACTGTACATCTGCAGTTCAACCATGGAAGACTGAAAAAACTGCTCTGCCTCAAGTATTCCCTTGAAACACAGGCTAATACACAAGCAGTAGGTCATAAAACATTTAAACGAAAGAACAGGATAACGCATACATTAAAAAAAACTATAGCAAATGCACCACTAAATTCCAGAACTCGGATGTTCCCCTTATTGAGGAGTGTTAAAACGGCCTGATGTTAAAATTGATCCAGCAGTATGAATGTGCTACATAAAGTTAAGCTGCATTAAGGAAAACAGTAAATTTTAAAAAGGTAAATATTAATGAAAAATCGACCAAGTTTCCAAGACTGATGTCTATATACTGTACACTGTATCTAAATGTTCAGTCTAGTATCCAAGTCTTTATATACAGGAATTGTCAATAGGTTATTAAATCTATATGGTGCCAAAGCGATCGATGCAGTGCATATTCTGTGTGCAGTATAAAGGTTAGCAGGGTTGAAGTAGGCTGCCAGAAAAGCCAGTTTTGTCTTACTTCAGCAAGTCTGTAGGGCACAATGAGCCTCTCTCCCACTGTTACAGTCTTCCGCGTGGTAAGGGCTTCAAACAGCATTTCTTCCTTCACCTGCAACAAACAGAACCACATTCACTTTCAGAGGGAAAACATCCACACCGACCAAAATCCTTTAAATGACGTCATGGACTTGGCAAGGGAAGCAGGTAAAAATATTTAAATAATGTCTTTCAACGCAACCCAGGAACTGCATACAGAAGAATTTTAAAAAGCACTGTTTTCTCGTGCATAAGGAACCATACTAAAAAGCTAATGCTACATACTTCAATGTTAAAGAGCCCAGGCCATCTAATCATACCTGGACTGCAGACCTCTCACAGAGCTCAACCTGCGTTTCATTTTGACCCTAGACAGTACAGGATCTATACATCTCAGTCATGTCATGTTTTCGGAAGAAATAAAACGAAATCATTTTTATTTTGAGCCCTTGGTATGTTTGGACATGCTGTACCATCTCCTCTAATAAAAGTATTCCACAGACGATATACATTTGCCCAAAATATCTGCCCTCCCCCCCCGTGTGAGTCATAACGCCAGCAGTAAAACCGATCTGTGCAGTAACTACCGGCTAAAGTCATCATACTGGACTGTGCCAGTGCCAGCAGGAGCTGTGCAGCCTTGGGCACAGTTTTTCTTTTTTGGGGTTTATTATCATTCTTGAATGTCTGTTGATACACTTGAAAGACGACACAGTGTGCCAACTCGCTGCTCAAGCTTTTATAAGATCATGGAGTTCAGACTAGCAAAGGACAGTGATGGTTATTTGGCTTGTCTCATTTGGTAATGAAAGCACTGCCTGCAAAGTGACCAATGTTTTATCATGACAGCAAATAAGATATCAAGCATGATGTACTGCACATGTTGCTTCACATGAGGACGTGACTTAAATCAGGTGTGGTATTGTCATACAGTACAAGCTGGTGGTGATACAAAGGTCACTTAAGACAAAAAAAAGAAGTCATCACCAATAAGATTGAGAAACATTTTGAATACTGTCTTTTTAAAAGACATCTGGCTAAATACGCTTACCGCTTTTAGCATAAAAAAAAAATCCTGAACACCAAGTGTTTTTTACCACTTAAAAATGTAGTCCAATTTGACTAAAACTGAATCGCAGCGATTAAGTGGAGTACAGATTGAAACTGCCTTTTCATTCAGCCAAGCATACTTTTAAAACTGTTACAGAATTTTAAAAACTGACACTACACTGAGAATTATATTTAAACATTTTGACATTTTGAAGAAATACAGTATGCTTGGGATGAACAACCGCAAAAAAAAATGTGTTTCTGTGTGTACATTTCTTCCAAAACCAATCTCTGTAATTATGCAGTACAAAAAACAAAAAAGTTCCATGCATGCAGTTTCACTTCTTAATCAGATCTAGCTTTCTGGAGCTGTCTCCCTAAATTTAACAGGGGACAGGGGTCTCAATTACCAGATTATTTTTATCAAACATTTTACTGATAAAATTGCTTCAGCTCATGTTTACAAAACTCCTTCCTGCCCATTTGCAGGGATGCTAATAGATACAGTGTACATATGCAATGGTCATAATTTAAACCTAAGAAAAGGAGGCTATTTGATCCTCCTAGTCCACTTGGAGTTAGCAGCTAATTTATCTGAAGATCTCAATTAGCCATTTCTTGAAGGAAGCTGGGGTACAGCCCTCAACAACATGGTAGAATAGCTTGTTCCATGCTCCCACAACCCACAGCGTTAAGAAATGCCTTCCTTTCATGGTTTTGAAACGTAAAAATACTCTTCTCTCCTCTACTGCGTGGTTGATTCTGAAATAGTCTATCGGATTGACCCTGCCAATCTTTTTGAGGATTCTGAATATTTGCTACAGGTCCCCTCATACACTTGTCTGTCTGCAGCAGATGACAATCTCGATTGGCCTCTCTTTCTGTCCCCTGCTCCCGCCTCTCGCTCCTCCTCCCTCCCAGCCTTTGTTCTCCTGCTACTTTACCTTTGCCTACTGCCCTGTCTCTCTCACACCTGAAGAAGGCTCCACAGCCGAAACGTTGTGTTCTCTTCTTTTTTTCAGCAGGGAATAAACCTGTTACTTGTTCCTTTGCAGCCTACGCATGCTGACGCAGCTCCCCACCTGAACTACTCAATGCTTTACATTGCTGATTAAGGGCTCTCACTCAGAGGCGTTTTGTTTCCTTGCTCTGCTTTGACAGCTCTCACAAGGCAGTGTTCGTCTTTACCTTCAACTCCAAGAGCTGAGTGCCTGTGACCCCACAGCAAAGTAACGGAGGCAACAGAGTTCCAACCAGTAAAATAAAACAAGTGGCTCTTGCCCCTAATAGATCAGTTACTGTATTCTAGAATGCAGTGATCCTTATGCTAGCTCTTATAAAGGTATTCACTATCGCAATGTCAACTTTCATATTTCGTAGTGCAAAGCGGATTAAGCAAACAAAAGTATACATCCGTCGTATGAACAAAACTTTCAAACCTAATCACATTATAATCTAATTAGACAGCTAGAAGAAGATGATATTTTCTAAACTATGAAACAATAAAATCAAAAACTATGAGGCTTAGTCAACTGTCTAGAGCCCTGGGTACCTACCTGGCTTTTATAATGAATGAGCTGAGAATGAAATATAGTTAGAACTGTAATTTTTTAACTTTTCCTTCATGGTTCCTGTCCCTGTTACAAGCAACACAACATTTCCACCTTTTGGGATGTGTTTCAAAGGGAACAAGTCACCATACTTATTATTTTTAACGGTAGGGGAAACTGAAAGCCTTTGGTAAAGAAAGCCTGTTCTTAAAAGCACAAATTGCTACATCAGCTCTCTTAAAGCTATCGTTTAAAGATTAAAAATAAAAAAGTCTTATGACTCAGTAACTGAGCCAAACACATCAGATAATTATAAATCATCAAATTATATGTTGCATGCAAACTGAATTCTTGTCTCCGATTTTTTTCCATCTATTAGCTCCATCTGCCTCGATGTAAAGAACTGCAGAAATGAAGACTAAACATTTTTCCTTATTCTTAGTTTGAGAATCAAAACCTCTGTTAAAAATTGCTTTTAATCCATGTCATTGCATATTCTACAAAGAAATGGTTCTTTAAAAAATGATTTTGTATATCTTACTGAAAAAAGTCAAACAATCCCAGATCCCATTTACAGTACTTCTCAGAAACTGTTTGCTTTCTCCGTTAAGCAGATTGTCATTTTAGGATACCCAATATTATATTTTTTCTGGTGATCCTCTTTTAAAGTTGCAAAGTTTTGAAGATCTGTCAATAAATAAAATGCTGGATCTCATAGAAAAATAAAATGCTTGAAAAAGTTATTCACAGAAATATTAATCTACCCTGCAACAAGGAATTGTATGGCTCTAAGGGAGATTATTTTTGAAGGTTAAAATCTTGCTCAGATTTTAGTCTACAGTGCTTTACAGACTTCCATTATGTTGCTTATATATTCAGAATAGAACAAAAATCTCTTGCATATTCTCACTGTCTGCTAACCAGTAATTAATTCTCTCTGAACTGAAGTGCCTTTCTAACAAACAAACTTATTTTTTCATTGCTCTCTCAGATAAAGTGTTAAATGAAATAAAATCAACTCCATTCATTCAGTTAAGGAAAACTACATCACATGTTGGGAACATTTCCTGTTTGCACATTTCTAGCTTTGCACAGGACTGTTTGCACACACTGTTCACCCCAGGACTGCAGACCAGGACACATCCACCAGACACTGTGGCCTTGCCTTCTTTATATGGGGACAGCTATACTGCACAAATATGACTGAATTTCAGCTACTACTGCCATTTAGAGAGAGAAGTACTGTACAGTGTAAGGCAGTAAATCAATCTACTGGGGAACTTGAAAAAAGGTTGGGGTATGAAAAAAAGAGATGAGGGAAGGAGAAAGGAGAGGTCCGTGAGGGGCTTCACTGCAGCACGTCACTTTGAACGCAAACCACTCCACTGACAAAGTCACTCCTCCACTTGGACAGAGTGACCCTGTCAACACGCACAGATAGGATCTGAGCTGTCGGCAAGTGTGGCCCAGCCTCCCTCCAAGACTGTTCCTCGAGAGCCCACGGGCCGGCACATCACAGTGCGGGGTCTGAATCAGTTACAAATGGTGAACAATTTAATGGCATCCCTTTCTCTCGGGTCTGAAGCCAAATGTATTAGTTACACCTCAAGAGGAAGGGTTATGGTTCTGTGCCAGATTAATAATGTGCTGAATAGTTTTTAATTGACAAATTGAGGTGTGGGTCAAGTCTTGAACCACACGTCAGCTGCAGAGAGGAAGTTCCAGCCCCGAGTAAAGGAAAGGGAGCTGAAGGTGTGAAAGAAGGTGTGACTGTCACAGAGCTCGTTTCAGAATCAAGTGAGCTACGTCACACTCAAGCTTGCGAAATTTTCGATTGCACAGAGAACGTATTTGCTGCTCTATACACAAGTACAAAATACCAAAAGACGTCACAGCAAATAACAAAATGACCAAATCGAGCTTTTTGGCAGATAAAAACAGTGCTTCTTTAAGATTTTTCTGAACTCAGACCATATGCCTTCTTAATGAACCATTGCTGCCATTAAAAAAAAATTGTTCAAGCAAGTTTTTAAAGTGTGAGTACAGTTACTGGATAATAAGAAAACTAGCCAGTGCAGTCTCAATATACTTAATCTATATCACTTTGAACTAAATGCCAAAGAAAACTGGAAGCTAAGGTAAATTGGTCTTGTGTTCCTTTCCTCAAAAACATCTTAAATGTATTTAGAAACTGGCCAATTGTAAAACACAGGAGCACGGAGAGACACTGTACTAAAGGGCTGTCTTACCTCCAGCAGCTCGGATACTGTTGGCAGCACTTCAGGGTTACAAATATCAATGGAGTCATCCCGATAGGTTTTCTTCTTGTAGCGTATATTCCCTAAGTGAAGTATAGCAGACAGTAGGGAGAAGATCCTGTAAAAGGGAGCAAAATTGTTACAAGTTGGAAAACACCTCCAGCAAAAAGACACCAGCAAAGTCATAATCCATTCTGTTTTGTAATCTCTGTGGGGCTGTGTTCTGCACATATGATAAACATTATCTTCATGTGCTTGCAGCTTGTCACTTCATCATTGTCAGAGGTGGGTAAACCTCCAAACATTCTTTAGGCAATCAAGCTGCTCTAAAGACAGCTGTGCTACAGCAGCCCAGGGGTTCAAGACAGGAAAAATGTCAACCCCAGCATTTAAGCTTAATATTCCCTTACATTTCTCCTTCATGAATTTTTGTCAGGGTGGGGAACTACAGATCTACAGTATGTGGAGTGAGTTGTGTCTGGTGACCAGGCTGCAAATTCTCCTCTGGACTTACTGTTTACGGGTTGAAGGGAGAAACCCCACCATCTCCATGGCCAGCTGCAATCTCTCAAAGTCATGCTTCAGGTCCTCCCCTTCCACTGTGAAGCAATCCTGCTAGTATCAACAACACAGGGGGGTCAGCTTCACAATTATCACAATTCTGTTGGAATTATTTTACATTAGGTCTAAAAATATCCATTTTTTATTTCACCTTCTTTTTTCCTTATATTAACATCTACCACTTCTAACTTCATCTAATGAATTTATGTATGCATTTATGCAGTGGAGACATCCTGTTCTAATCTCACCAGCTAACAAGATCATCTTTCAACCTGGAATGCCTGATCTGTGGCTTCTGAGACTGAACTCAGCCAGTGTGATCTCCAACAAGCCTGGCTAGGAGCCAGCAATGGCAACATAGGGCATACAAAATCAAACATGTTTTCCCTGTTAACAGATAAGAATAGTAGGTGAGTGCAAAATGCACACCATACACTAGTGGTACAAAGCCTACCTCAAGCAGATTAGCAGGGTGTGCCACTGGGAACCCATACACTATTACTAACTTCAAATACAAGTAATACCAAGCTGCCTTAATGTCTCATTCACCCCAGTAATGGATTATTACTCATCCATACAGAGAAAATAGAGGGTTCATTGAAACTATTTCCACACCTCTTAGCATGTAACAATGCACAATTTATTAATTTCACTTCTGAAAAAGTGGATCCACATTACACCTGCCGTGTGCCAAGAACACTGCTCATACCAATTTGTTTCCTCTAAAAATCCACCTCTTACTTGCCAAACATAATGCAATGGTAGAGGCCAAATGACTCATGGATCAATGTCATTCTGACATTCGGTCAAACTGTCTCAAGACATCAAGTACTTCTGGTTTAATTTAAGGGTTTGCTGAACGTTAGCATATGTACATTTCAACCATTTTTGCCCACACACTGGAAAATTTAAAATGATTTTTACCATATAGTTTTGGAAATTTGGCCCGGGAGCAAAGAAAATAAAATTATAATTTTGATTAGTTTTGTCGTTTATTAAGAAACTGAAAATTAACTATGAAAAGACTAAAGGCTACACAGGATCATAATGTTACCTGCTGTACCATGCAATTTTACAAAATCAATATCTACATTCAGAGACATTATAATTGAAAACACATTATCAGCTCATCGCTCATCAATTAATTTGGCTCAAATTCCTAAAAACATGGTTACACAAAAACTTTACAATTATAATCTAATTCATACTCAATAAATATGGAAACCTTCAATCAGAGATAGTAAGCCTGACAGACGTTTCATAACATTCACTGCTGCTAAAGAGAGAGTCCATACAGCCAGTGAATCTCTGTTTAACATGCTGCCAATAAAAGAGACTGACCAAAACCTACTGCATTACTGAGAGCCATAACTGTTTTTGAAAAGCAGAAAAATGCAACCATTCATGTATTCCAAGAAAACAAATAGCAAAGTTCATTTCCAAATAAAACAATGATATATGATATACAAAAACAATAAATTTAACAATGAAACAAAATATAGTGTTAACTATGAAATAAGATACATACTACTTAAGTATTACTTCACAACTATAGAGAGAGTTGTCATGAGGAGGAATTGAAAGGTTACCCTGTATGCCCAGGCCACACTATTTTAAAAGGGAATTTCCTTTATTTAGCTTTAAATGTATATTAGCTGAGTCTCTGGGAAGTTATGTCTCAGGAGCTATATGTTTTAAAGTTATATTTTAAAATCAGAATTTCTGACAAACCCTGGCGTCCCCTAAACCAGTGAATGTTCTTATCCAGACACATTTCACTTCTGTTTGAAAGGCATGAAAGCCCGAATGTGAAGCACTTTAAACAGTCAAGACAGAAATGGTGTCTGCAGACAAGTCAACCATTGAGAGAAGCCTGGAAACAGCTGGCACTAGGGTGTTGTTTCTTCGTTACAGGAATAATGTCGGATTTGTAAAACGCATGTTCTCACTTTAATAAGAGTGCCTGCCCTTGCTCTGCGTGGTCCACAATTCATGTGATAATTATAACATTCCAAAGCAATGGAAACACATACTGTGTTGAAATGATTGTCATTTCAAATTGCTGTGCTGGTTTATGGATGTGAAGACTGCCGTTTTCTTATGTTCAGGCACATTTTTTAAGCCTCAAGTTTTACTAACAAAAACAGACACTCTACAAAACAAGCTGCCCACTAACATGTTATTTCTGGATTCATTCGGTGGCCCTTTATTTATCCACTACGGTGTAAGAATCAGACAAACCCTTAATTAAAACATTGAAGTTTGCTCCGCACTCATGGGGAAAAGCACCACCTCAAAACAAACACATTTTACCTTGTTTCAATGTTAAATCTTTTCCAAATTATTTTCTTAGTATGATTAGTGCTTTCACCTTCCTGGGGTAATGGGCCCCAACACTCTTTAATCAATCTTAGATTTCTCGGAATTACAGTGCAGGGCAGAAGAAAAACAGCTTTTTATATTATATCTAATAAACAAAATTAAATGTTTTTCCCCACAAACACACCTCTTTCCAATCTATTAACATTTTAAAGTTTTCATTTCTCAAAGTTTCAGAGCTGTGGATCAGCTGTAGTGTTGAAACAATACAACTCACCTGTTTTAACACTTCAACAGTTACTCTGTTTTACTGAGCAGACTTCACAGCAACATCTTAACTGACACATGTCTTAGAAATTGTCAATGCAATTGCCTTTAAAAAGCAAGTAAGAGACAGCGGCTACATGGACAGGTACCCATTTAAATGGAAGCATGCCACATGGAAAGACATGACATTCAAAAACACTTTCCCCCACAAGTCATATAAGAAATTACAACACAAATGGAAGGCCACAGTCTATTTGGTCATCGTTCTCTTTGAGCAAGTCAGTACGCGACATGTCATTTCAGTACAAGAGCATATTCTTAAACCGGGATAAGCTGCTTTTAAGAGAAAGAAAAACACAATATCATAAATTAGCATAACTGAATTACCTTGATTTTGGGAAGGAGAGCATTTCTGGTCATTAAAGGAATAATGATAATAATTCTTTGATTCTGTCAATCTCTTTCTTTCCCCTCAAAGGACCCCAAACTGTTAAGCATACAGGTGGGGACTCACTTCAGCCACTACAGAAGTGCATCATCTGCTACGGATCAGATCAGGTAAAACAGTGAGAAATTGTTTCAGCAGCTGAACTTAAGAGGAGCTTTAGGTAGCCAGACTAAGCAAGCACTGAGCGTAATTTAGCAAGGAACCCTGGGGCTAACACCCCTAATCTTACTAACACTGCCAAGAAATGTTAAATAACCATGTAGTCAAGTCCCTCTTGAAGGATGGCTCCTCCTACAGCACAGTGGTGAGTGACCGTACTGCACACTGGGGTATTGGTTCGGTCCAGAGGGAACAGTCCCACCTACTGGCCCACCAGCACCAGCTATAGCAGCAATGTGGTCTCCCTCAGCGGTCTCGCCTCCTAGTGTGGACCAGCGCCAGCGTTGCTAAGCTTCTGAGGTGTAACAAAGTCAGGCTACACTGTGACGATGCTGCCGTCATGTACGGCACGGAAATAAATATTTGCAATTTCGATCTCACGTGAAGCAGACAAGACTGCTTTTTGGTGTTGGAGAAGTTTTATTAACTGTGTGGTTTGCTCTTCTGTTGTAAACGGAGGCACCCTGAACCCCTTCTTCACTCACTGAGACCAGGTGATGGGACAGCCCTGAGAGACCCACTACGGGGTGCTGGTGAGGCAAGAAAACTTCAGCATATGTTGAAGAAAATGAACTTCTCGCCTCTCGTGTTCACCATCTAGGTGCATTTGGTGAACCAGGTAAAGCATCGCCCTTTAAATCACGATCTGTCTACAAATAACAAATTCCACCCAACATACAGGATGCAAAGACATGCTGGCAATGGTGAGAGATATTGACAAACCTACCTTTTGTAATATCTAAGTTCAAATATGGCCGAATTCCCCTATGAAAGCGCCTTTCTTCTACTGGCACAGCAGTAAGAAATGGGACAAAACTAAAAGTGCAGCAGAAAGCTGTGAAGAACAGAACTACATGACAGGAAGTGGGGATTTTGTCATTTTAAGGGTCCTTTTACTTAGTGAAGATGTTGCAAATGGCATGCACCCATTTATCTCAAGTCTTACACAGCTCAAGAATATTAAAAGCTCAATAATGATTTATTGCTGTAGCAAAATGAATTCTAAAGTCTTTACAGTGCCAACCTATCGTACATTGGCCTCTTACAAGAAAACAGAATGACCAAACAGGACAAACGTGGGAGCTGAGGGACTGTGCAGAATATAAAAGACATTGCAAGACTGAGGGGAAAAAAAAGTCCAAAGAAAACAAGCAGGATTTGATTTTGTGCATGTGTTTATACATGAACATCTGGAGAAAAAGCAGTGTTCCAACCCAGCAGCACCCACAGACACTGTATGAATACTGACCGGCTCGGTTTCATAGTAATTTTCCCAGTGGAGTCTGAGGGGTTTCTTTGTCATCTGTAAGTAAGGTAGATGGGGTTAGGCAGCATTCGACACAACACTCATTCTCTACAGAGAAATCATGAAGCATGCAGTTAATGAAGAAGCAAAAGCACACAGACATCTTACTCTAAACTGCTCTTCCCCTAGACAATAGATTTTGGACTGTAGGAGAAAATTAAGATTATGCATAAATTATTGTTTTAAAATATAGGATATTAATAGCTGTAACTTCATTACTGTGAGTACTGAATAATTTATTTTGAAACTGGGTATCTTTTTTTAAATCAAGTTTTGTTTAGAAGGATATTAAAGAGAGAAAACCGAGCAAAGAAATATCTGTAGACATTTTTTGTAGTGAAGAAAATCTACAAGGAAAAAACATTAAAATAACTCAAGTCATTTTAATAGTAGTTTGCTGTACTTTGTGCTGCCTGGCATTAGTCAACACTTAAATCCTTCACTCTTAATTTGCTGCCCTCTTTCAATCAAAAAAGGCTTTGCAATTAACTCAGCAAGATCCAAAACAATGCAACACTACCAACACCGAGGTACACCAGAAGCCAGCAGTATTACAGCCACGTGCTTCACTGTCCCCACTTGTGTACTGAACAGGGCTGTGGCCACTTCCAGAAAACGTTGTGATTCATTATGATTCTGGCCTGCGATTGATACTTCACACTTTCCAATGTGCTGGTTCTGTCACTGCAGTGCTATTTTGGAGACTGCATGACTGCATATGTGAGAAATTAACATCAATCCTGCCTTGATTAAAGAACCAATCCTGATTTATTGTATTATTGTAATATTTTTTCTGAAGAATATCAAATCATATGCTGCTTGCCAGATCTGCAGAAATTTCCTTTCTAAGCAGTGGTCTACTTAGAATTTATGACTTTGCTTCTTATTTTCTTCAACTCTGAAAAAGCACCCCCCCCCCCCCCCCTCCTTGCCTGATAACACATGTAATTACGGTGTATCAAGTTCAAAGGATAATACAGTATGAAGAGTTAAAGACAAAAATATAATACAGCCCATTCCTTCCTTTCCCTTGGCTATTCCTAGTCTGATTTTTAGAAGTCTGAAGCCGTGCCGCTCTGTTAAAACCCCTGAGGGCCATGCAGTGAGTCAGTCACATGGCAATGGCGTTGAAGAGCATGTGTGGAGCAGTACGCCGGGGACCGCAGCGCGCGGGCTGCCAGATGTCGTTGAGAATTGAAAGGACAGGCAGTGGGAAGCAGCAAGTAATACAATGAACATTCAAGACGCGCTCTTGTGTTATGGTGACGCGGCATTAAAAAGAAACAGCGCGACGGTAAAGCAATGGAACATGAATGAAGAGCAACGGGCTTCTTCTGTCACATTCGTCCGCGGGAAGTATGAGGAAAGCTGAGGACCTCGGCTGCAGTGCACACACAAGCACGGGGAATGGAGCTGGTGAAAGGAATGGGAGTCATGAACAATGGAATCTGCTTCCTTTCCTTTCCTCCCCTCTCTTCCTGTTTTCCAGCGAGAGGGACTGTGGCCATAGCCGGCTGGGCTAAATGGGAGCAGCTGGCTGTGTTTTGCAGATGTACCAGTAACCAGTGAAAGTGTCGGTGCAGAAGCCCCATGCAAAGCTAGCCTCTGTTTCGCACTGAAAGTGACAGAAAGGTGCAATGTGAGGTATGCAGTGTGTGAGCCACACAAATCCAAAAGCCAGAAGTGCAGAGCTGGCTCTGCTGGCTTATTCACTGGCACTGGTTTCTTCTTGCAGTTTGCAGATCAGCGCGTTTTAAAATTTCTGTCAAGTATAAACAAATGTTAGTCATTATTTTGCTTGTGTTTCTTAATATCATTCCTTTCTTGCACACGGGGCTTTACATGGTCAGAACAATTGAACTCAGGCGGACTTTGATCAAGGTTTTGAAATGTCAGCACCCAGCTGCTGCACCCTGGCCCTCCCCCCGCACACCACCTGATTGAGGTAATGGTACTCCTCAGGCTTCTTGAGGTGGAAGGCCGTCCTCTCCTCATCACTAGCGCCTGCCAGGAGGTAGTAAAATACATGGTAGTTCCTGGAAGACAACGATGGACACAGCAGCTTAGTCACATATCCAGGCCCTGCACAGAACCACAGCAGAGGCAGGTTAAGGAGATGGAAATTCATGCAAAAAGTTCATCACAAACTGCAACTCTGTATTATCTTAGAAGTGTTCTTACAGAAGTTTGTTGCAAGAAGAATGCCATTTCAGAATATAATTAGAAAACGTGAATTTAAGGTGACAATAAACTCATTAGCATCCTAGGTAGCTCTGGGTGGTGAGTTTTCAAAGGGTCTGCAAGGCGGAGCTGAGCTCCGATGTAGAGCGATGGAGAGGTCAGAGTGCACAGAGAGAGTTGCAGCTGCTAGCGCACTGCTCTCCCAGTGGGAATTCTCACAGAGGACAGGGAGACTGGGGCTGACCATCAATCTCAATCAGGCCTTGTGTGAGCCCACTCCTGTTCCAGGCCCCCCCAGACGTCCGATATAACCTTTTCAGCTCTGGATGTTTTTGGCTTTAAAGTATTTCTTCTTTATATTCTCATAGTAGAGTAGGCAACTGCAGAATACATTTCCCAAGTCTTGCTTTTCCACGTTTAGAAGAATGAACAATGCTTGAACAACAACAACACAAAACTATTTTAAAATACTCCATGTGTTTGGGTCCCCTCTTCATCTCAGACTTAAATCCATAAATACAAAACAAAACAGCAAAGATATTGTAAAAAAAGAAAAATTATGCTGAGGCTAGATAAGTCATACCTACAACTAATGTCCAATGAAAGAGGCTTTCACATTATCAGTGAGCAAAAAATGATCAGAAGAAAACACAATGAGATGCTGCTGATTGGAATGTGACTAAGCTGTTCTAAAGGCCTACCACAGGTACTGCCCTGGAAAGGAGGAGTACCTATATCATGAGATGTACAGAGAGAAGCACACAGCATGATTGATTTCAGATGCAAAAATCTTTGAACATTTATAATCCTTGCACTGGTTCCATTGACCTTGAGATCTGTTTATTAATAGGCCGTTAATGAGAACAGAAATGCTTCAGGGATTTAAACACCTCATTGCATAAGGATAAATTTGTATCTTCTCTTCAGTCATAAAGAAATTTTAAAGACAGGACTTTCTTCGGTTTATAAAACAAGAACATGTGGGGGGAGGGGCAGAAAATGTTTTTTTAGTAATTTCATAATATTGACACTGCAAAGGTTATTCCTTAGACATTGCATGAAAAACAACAATGATTAGTTCGTGATTATTTCAAGAGATGTAAAAATAGGCTTGATTAAAATATTTTTTTCTTCAGTACAGCAGCAGTTCCAAAGCTTCTGAAAGAATCATGTTAAAGAAATAAATTAAAATGTTTTTTTCAATCTTGAACTATTTCATTTCCATAACAAAAAACAAGTGCAAAATTATTCTTTATATCTAATAAGTCTATTTTCCATTTTTCATTATCACATCTATTAGAAAACAAGACCTTTCGATGACACAAATTTATCAAACATTTTCTGCTGCAGTCTCTAAATCGAGTTATTCCCAGACAGAATACAACAGGCTCATTACTACAAAACTAATCCCAGGCCATTTGCTGCTATTATTAAAAGCTGTAGACTTTATAAGGAAATTATGTTGACAAGATTTCTGTGAGAAATCATTAAGAACAGAAAAACAATCAGAAAGGGGTAAGTGAGGTATTTTAGAAGACCTTTAACTGAGGAGCTTCTATGAAATTCTCAAATGTCATAGCCGAGTCTCCAACGTATTATAATCCTAAACTGCGTTGTGTAGTTTTGTGTAAAACACAACATATTTTCTATGCAGTGTATATTTAAAAAGTAAATTACTACTATAAAAAACAACAACAATAACTATAATAATATCTTACCGTTCATTGTGCTCCTGGTAGACCAATCTTGATTTTTCCAGTAAATATTTTTCCACATAAGCTCTGGAATACATAAGTTATCGCAATCAAACTGAAGGTCTTTGTATAAAGATATACAGATTGATCAAAAGAATGTTCCCACCAACTTCTGAAGCTTGGGATAACATGCAGGTAAATATATGTCTAATGGTTTCAAGCAGTAAAATACATGGAGCTACAGTCCTAAAAAAGCATGCTGTTTCTGTTTCTGCCTTTTTGTCTATTATGTGCATATAAGTAAAATAAAAGTCACACATGTGTGTAAATGGAAGACAGTCAATGAAAATATAATTACAACCAGAGGAAAAAAACACTTCAAACTCCCTGCTGAGCTACCCCCCCTTATACTACTGCAGGAAAAGGAAAGCTCTGCTATACTGTCTCTTCTGCTTTAAAGTGACTCCAGTTACACAAGCTGGCATTATCACTAATGGATTAAATAGGTTATTCAGAGCATTCTTCTTCACTCCAACATTTAAATATAACATTGTTGTGACCCATCTGTTACAATTACTGACACTAACAGGCAATCAGTTTGAATTAATCACCTGTCCTTTCACTCTATTTTCATTACAATTGAAACGAAGGACTCATCAGCGTTAACAGCATAAGAAATCGGGTCATTTGGACCACTTTCCTTGCTTGTTCAGTTGCTCTGGCGAGCTATTTCTTGAAGGACTTACCTAATTTTACAGGTGTTACCTAATTCTGGGGTGCAAATTAATTCAGCTGCAGTTCTCATCATTTTTTTTCTTAATTGCAGCACGGCCTTCTGTGGCTTTTCCAGGTTGTGGGGCCAATCAAAATGACGTTTGAAGCAATTCCAGAATTTGCTCAGAAGAAAAAGAAATAGTGCGCTTGGAACACAGAAGGTTTCTCTTACCCCCTCACAGTGCCGGTCTCCTGGTAATTGACTTGAATGAACTTGCCAAAGCGACTGGAATTGTTGTTATGAGCAGTCTTTGCATTTCCAAATGCCTGTTGGGAAAAGGAAGAGGGGATTGGTCAGGAGAGGGAGGGATAAAGAGCTGGGGGTTAAGCACACAGTTTGATACTGTAGTATAATTACAGTATGAGCACTTTTGGCTGTTTGCAGGGTTTGCTGGCATACTGACAAATGCCTTGTTGACCCCTCTGCATAATTGCAACCGTATGTAGGAAACATGCATCGCAGGAGGTAATAGATTTTCTTTATCCTTCACAAGTATTGCAATATTGGCAAACTCTATATTCATTATACTGTATATTGCATAGGAAGTGTAAGGGATTTTTTTTAAATCCCTCAAAAGATAAACACCGATTTTTATCTCCCCGCTAAGTAGAAAATATTAACTGCTTGCAGGTTTCCAGAAGAAGACAAGGCCTGTGATTTCAGATTTAGGAAAGTAAAATGCAGTAGGTAAAATGTAAAATGCAGCTTCTATTCAGTTATCCTAAAGGTGCACTTTATTTAAATAATTAATCAATTTAAATAATTTATAACATTGCATAATTAAAGCACAAGTGTAAAAGCTATTGCAGAGGCACACATACTCACGGAAGCACTTTTTACATATTTAGTTTATAAATAGGATAAGTATAATTATCCTTGAACTGGATTATACATGTACTAAACCAGGGATGTCTTAAACAGAAATTAAATTTCCATATACACATATCCCTTCTTTGAGAGAAAAACAATCTCCAGGAAGTTTGTATGTTTTTCTTAATAACAAAAACCACTATGGCATATAGCCACAAATCCTGTCGTGACCACTAAGGGAGAATAATAAAAAAGACGGCCGATTCAGGAAACACAGAATAATCCATTGGCCTACAATTCTCATACCAGAGAGTAAACTTACTGTGTGTGCTTTTATAATACAGATGCATTGTAGAGTCTACTGTGTCTGTCAAGGATTGTTTTTATAAACCTGCCCTAGAAAGGAAGTTATGATTCAGTGTGAAGAAACCTCACTGTTATTTGTAATTCCACCACAGTAAACAAGATCCGTGGTGAACTGTCCCCAAGGATCACGAGGAAAACACCAGGCGGAGGTGTTCAAGAACAATACACATTTCACTCCAGTATACATGTTCAGCACCACCTAGCATTCCATCAGGAAAAAAGCTTCAGGAGTGGAGGAGACATTGGGCGTCACAAGTGGTTCAGCTGTAAACATGGTGCCTTGAGTGTGAGCTATAAAACAATGAAATTAAAAACTGCTCTGAGTTCCGACAGGAAGAAAGCAGCACCTCCCTAAAGCCAAATACCTCTTTTTCTCTGGCACACCTGAACCAAGCCTGCCTGGTGCCACAAGGGTGTTTTCCACTGTACTGTTGTAAAAGATGGCATGTGCAGTGGAGCTGAAGAACCTCAGGAGTGTACAACTTCATGAAAGCACCAGTTTGGCTCGCAGTAGAAATACACTTGGTCGTAAACACAGTCGACAAAAAACAATGCTCTTCCTTCAATCTTAGTTTCTTCATAATACTGTGTGGAGATTTGGATTTTCTCGATTTCTTTGATGTTGGTTGCAAAACGTATTTGAGCACGTTTTCACGTCTTTCTGACCAAAAGCAGAAGCTGATACCCTGGCTTCTTTCAAGGAACAGCTGGATGAGATCACTAGAACTAGAGGGGTCAAAGAGATGCCTCTTGTTCTTAACTTTTCTTCCCTAATTTTGCTCAAGCTGTTACAAGAGCCTGCACTTTGGTTAATCAGGGCCAAAGACCTTTTCAACCTCTTACAATACCATAGAATGTCACCTTCTTTCTCTCTTTTACAATTACCGAAAACTTGTTAACCAGACAAACTCAATAGACAAGCAAAACCTGTAAGGCTTAAACTTCACATCATAGTGCGCTCTTGGCTGAACAGAACAGTAGGTAGAGAATCACCCAGAAACTCACTGAATAGAGCATCATCAGCACCATTCTTGGGTGCACCTGTGGGCATACATGTCACATTACAAAACATGTGCCAAAACACAGGCCAAAGGAAATAAACACCAAAGTTACTTAAGCACTGTAAATTCTGCAGCATCTTGACACGAAAACTGTTAACACATCCATACAGTATGAAAAATACTGGTGAACAGCTACATGACAATGGCAAAACTCCTTGCTGCATCTTAATAATATTAATAATCATCATCATCCTTCATCTTTTATTTATAAAGCACCTGTCCACATCCATGGACACTGTATATTGTTATAATGAAAAAGACCAAACAGTATCATAAAACGTGTAAGAAAATACAGACAGCACATAGGGCAGGTAATCATAGGCTGGGGTAAAAAGGTGAGCTTTGACTTTGGATCTGAAGAAGGTCAGAGGAAGTTGTCTCTCATAGACTCTGAGGAAGGGCATTCCATAACAACGGAGCAGTGACAGGAAAGGCACAGTCTCCAAAAGTACGAGATTTAGTACAGTGAGCAAAGGACCAGCCTCAAGTGAATAGAGTCTACGGGAAGTCTATGTGAATATGGAGGAGTTCACAGATGTATAACAGAGCGAGATTTCAAGCCTTGAAAGACAGTAACAATACATGACTTTACAGGCAACCAACTGCAGTAGTAATATTATGCCAAATTCTGGTGTAAGTTAGTAGCTGCAGAACATTGGACATATTGCACCTGGAGAAGAGTGTTTGGGAGCCCATAATGCAAGGAGTGTCATACAGTATGTGTCACTCCCTACTTTACAGGAAATTGTGGATCAATTCATCTGAAGTTCCAGAAGTTAGACAGAGAGCCAAACTGGTGTGAGAGCTCAGTCAGAGAGCATTCAGTGCTAGTGTTTTATAACATATACTACGGTAAAGTATATTTCTGGAAACCTTTATAGCCTTAAATGTTTATTTTTTCAACATCCACAAATTCATTCTTCCAGAAGTGTTTTTGTGAGGCAACTCAATTGATTTTAAATAAGGGTGTGCCCTCATGCTCAGGGGTCTCAGCACACCATAAAAAAAGGCCACTTGGCTTATTCCTTGTCTCAGAGCCTGGTTCTATCTCACTTTTTAAACACAAATGAGCCTTGTGCTCCGTGTGGTAAACCTCCGCCCTTCACAGAGCAACAGGTGCTGTACTGCACTTTCTGGTCCAGAACAAGCGGGGCTGTAATTCCCAGCGGGAACCGAGCGGGTCAGACAGACAGGGGTAGGGGTGGAAAGAACTAGGCCACATGACATCAAGAAAGAAATACGAACTTCAGACTTTCTCGCTCCCCTGTTACCGCAGAGAGCATCAGGGAATGCTTAGCAAACATTTTCGGAAAAGCCCCCACAGAACCCCTGCCAGGACTGAGAACTATAAAAAAAAACAGTCCTGTGTGTGATAGTGGTGACTGCTCCCAGGAGCCTGTGGTGCCGTGCTTTAACAATTACAGCATTCTGCCACTCACAGTGACACACGGCCCGCCGGTTAGGACACAGGCCATATGTCTCAATGAACTGCGATAGGTCAATATTACTTTTGGCAAGACATTAAAGCGCGGCAGATACTGTCAAAATACTGCCAGCATGCTCCGGCTCTAATTTCCCCCATGTGTGTTTATGTTCAGTGTCACTCAGCGAGCTGCCTCAGGTGCTCGCTACTTTATAGAGGCTCCCTTTCATGCCGAGCAAGGCCTGGAAACTCAGCCCTGCGCCACTCGCAGTGCGGCCTCCTCCCCGCTTCCTGCCAGCCCGGCAGCTGAGCCGCTGGCACGCCCGCGACATGCTGGACTTGAAGCGGAAGGGCCCATACGGGCGCTTTCTCTTCCAGTCTCACGCCGAGGTGCAGTAATGCGAGCAGATGTGACACGGTGGCCAGGCTGAGGCTGTGTGTATGGGACGAGGCGCGGCAGTGCTGACATTTGATTTCTGTTCAGTTTCATGCACTGTTCTTAAAAAAAGATGCACTGTTTTGTCATGTGATTCCTCTTTAAAAAGACATGAGCATCTTCAACAGGGACTCTGCACCCCGTACTGTAGGAATGGAAAAATGCTTCTCAGCTTAACTTCATTTTCAATTTGGATAAATGCCGGATCTATATTGTTTTTTGTATTGTTGTGCTTCTCTTCTGTAGGGATGCTCAATTGTAATCTAGTAAATTTCTAATCTGTATTTATGGGACACTTCTGAAGTGTAAGCATCTCACTGGCTGGATCAAAGTCCTTAGAGCAATATTCTATAAACATCTAGACCCTTGTCAAGAAGGAACTGTAATCAAAAATACACTTAACAAACAATATGAAATGTATCTCACAATGTCAAGACATATTACACTATGATGAAAATGGATTATAAACAAAAACTGAATACATCTACAGCATAACATACAGTAGTAACTCACACCCAAGGACTGGAAAAATGAACTCATCAGGATACAGTGTCTCAAAGACTACCATTCAAGCCTGATCTCTTGAATATAGTTTTAGGCAGAAGAATTTCATGGCAATACAAAAAAAAGACATGAATCTGCCACATATCCACAATTTGTCACCCATGTCAAATAGCAACACAATTTATTTGGATGAAACACAAGCTGATTTTTTGGACAGTGTTACCAGAAGTGCAATGATCACAGAAAGATAAACTGTCAAAATGGACTTACAAAAAAGTCTCCCCTTCAGTGAAGAATGGAAAATGATCTGCTCTACTTCTGGTCCTGAAGCCCTAGACAGAACTGAGGGACAGGCTTATTCCAAAGTTTAATAATTAATAATTGCTTACACTTACATAGTGCTTTTCTGGACACTCCACTCAAAGAGCTTTACAAGTAATGGGACTCCCCTCCACCATCACCACCAGTGTGCAGCCCCTGGATGATGTGACGGCAGCCATAGTGCACATAGTACGCTCGTACTATGCATAGTGCATAGTGCAGCCAAAGTGCGCCAGAACGCTCACCACACACCAGCTCTCAGTGGGGAGGAGAGCAGAGTGATGGAGCCAGTTCAGAGATGGGGATTATTATGAGGCCATGATTGGTAAAGGCCAATGGGAAATT